GATTTACATCTGGTTCAACAAAGGATGTAGAACTCCTTGATGGAGTTTAGAAAGTGCAACTAAAAGAGTGCCAGAAAGTACAGGGATTTTTCTGCTGTACTTTTGAGAACATCAACTGACATAACTCTGTTCTATGATTTCCAGACTGTGTCTGTATGCAGAACCACAACCCCTTCAGCCTGCATGAGGATTATTTCACCAAGGGAATTTGTGGATGTAGTAGTAATGAAGGAATGTGAAGATGGGACAATGCTGTCTGCTGGTAAGGCACTTGTATTCTAAACAGCTTCATGCTGCATTTGGAGATAACCAACGACTACTGGAAACAACTATAAAATAAAAGCTACCAGAAATAAACATATAATTAAAACTAAGTAACAAGCTGTTCAGTAGTTGACCTCATCTTGATCAGAAGAGAAAATAGTAATCTCTCTACATTGTTGTTCCTAGAGTACGTAAATCATCTTAACACTCAGATAATGATAAGACTGGCCTATGGTTTTTTCCCTTGCTATGCTTTTGAGAATGAATAAGTATTTAATTTACTTTGTTAAATTCTGGGGTATTTTGAGTGTGTTTCTTTGTTTTATGAGTTCACAGAACTTTCTAAAAGGAGTCCTGTTTAGACTAAATACTGTTTGAGCATTTTCTGCACAGGTTTCAGTGAAGCTATTGAATAAATGTACCAGTCCTGTTTGTGAAAATATTTGGTTTCATGAAAACAAATAGTGCTGATTTTCAAGGGGCTACCACTGTACAGAAGGACGTTAATTTGTTTTTTCACTTTCATTCTGTTTAACTGTTACAAGTCTGAACTTTTATTGCTCCACTGTTCATCGTGTCCTGTTTTCCCATCCTGTTCAGAAAAGCCTTGTCAGGAGTTTATATTCTTGCTTGAGTGCAGCTTTTCAGCAGGGAAGTGATGTATCTGTGTGAGGTGGATTTGTTGGAAGTAACCAACAATTAAAATTGTTGACCTCTAATGAAAATTAAATGATCTCTCAAGAAAAGCAGTGCCCTCACGCAACATGGGCTCGATGAAACTGTGTTGAAGTGTGGATGCTTCCTCCTTCAGAGCTCAGTAACAATTGCTTATAAATTCAGTACTTCTTTGATTTCCCCATTCTAAGGCCAGAGTAGTTCATTTTAATGGTCTTTTCTGACCACTTGTCAGCCCCACATTGAACAGGTTGTACTGCAGTTCTTTTTCAATACATTTTGTATAGTGAGTTTGCTTCCCATCTGGAGCTTTGCATACCAAGAAATCTTTCATGTCTTCTGGAAGAATGACACCTTCCTTCAATGCTTTTTCTTTCAGCCACCAACATGGAACACCCTCTGTGTCCTCCTCAACCAAATTTTGTGAGAGGTTTTAATTATCCCTGTGGCTGTTTCTGCATACCTGTTCCAGGGTAAGAAACAATCTGCTTGAATATTTTAAATTCTGAAGCTCCTCTTCTCCATTGTGTGGTGTCTTCATGTGTGTGTGGCCACATGTGACCTGTAAGCTCTTGGCAATGGCAATGTCTTCCCAGTAACTGTTATAACTGAGTGCCCTTTCTGTTCTCATTTTTGTGCAATGAATTAGTTTCTCTCCATTTCCTAGAGGGAAGTTTTTAATGTTACAGGAACTGTTATCGTGACCTCTTGAGCAGAGAGTCAGCAAAATGTACAAGTATGGTCTTAAGTTTTGGTGAATGAATATCTGGTTGATTTGCCATAATTTATGGATGGAGTCATGTAGCTAATTAGGGCATACATAAACTTTAATTTTGTAGTGACATTCACTGAAATTTGTTTGTTTGTTTAAAAAAAGAAAAGCTTTTGGAAATATCTATTCTGATACAAGTAAGAGTCACTGAAAAGTTCTTAATGCTCTTAAACCGTGGGCTATAAAATCACTTTTATTGTCTTTGCAGGGAGCCAGACAGGACTGAGCTCCTCACTTTCTTTCAGACGGATCTTGGTGGCTATCTTCCTCAGACAGTGGTGGATTCCTTTTTTCCGTCTAGTATATCTGGATTTTACAGCAACCTGACGAAAGCTCTTAAGGCATTAAAAGCATGACAGGACGAGTTGCTGACATCACCAGCTGAGGGTAGGAAACAACCTGTCAGCTTGTGGGTAAAAAATACAAAGTTGGCCTCAGGACTCTTCTATCAGCTAAGATACTTAAGAAAGGAGATATGAAACAATGAACTGAGTACAATACATTTTAAAACAGCGTTTTCTACCTGACTCCATGCAGAACAATGCAGTCTTATGTAATATTAAATTCTTCACTTCAATGATTAGAAAAATACCACACCAGAGGCTGGAAAAATCCTGGAGGCAGCAGTGGTGACTGTCTGCAGGGAGAAGACGGACATGCTGGATCTATTCTTTGTCAGTGTCTGTGAGGAAAAGCATTGCTCAAATCTACTTAGCACCACAGCCAGGTGCAGGTCAGCTCTGCTTGGTCTCTGAAGTTCCCTGTAGATTTCTGTGGAAAAATGCTTCTCTCCCTAAAGATGTATCCCTCCTGCTGCTAGCTAGAGCTGCTAAGATGCCTCAGTGGGTCCAGCCAGCAAATCATGAACGCCAGAAAAAATGGGATTATGTAGAGGATTTCACTTGTTTGTTCCAGCAGACATCAATATTGATGGTAAATATGCCTTAAGTGCTTTTTTGTAAGTCAAGGTCCAGCAGTGCTAATCAATGCACAAGTATGTGGGCTGGCAAATAGACATTCTCGCTTTCCCCTCTCTGCTACCAAAACCAGTGGTTTCATAGTGTCACGACACAAACTGAACCGACATAGAGGCAATAAATAAAGAGGATTAAGCACTTTACTTACCAGTTTTTAAAAGGCACATGAAATTACCATTTTGAACCGTATTTGAATGTTTTTTGGTTTCCTGTGGTGAGAGGTTTTAACGGGTAAATAATCTTTTCATTAGCTTTGCCTTGACAGGCCATAAGGATGTTGCTTTTTTCTAAGACTGGTTTGCCTCCCAACATTACATTGGGAAATCAGCACCTGATTTTGTGTGCCAAGGTGTGTCCATTTGAAGAGATATCTATGGTGCTGGTTGCTGCAGGAATGTTACCATTACTATGGACTACATATAATTACAGAAGTAAAAATAGTTTTTGAGTGAGGAAGCTAAATTAAGGTTGTGATTTTACTGTGGTGACTCGATTATTTAACAAGGTTAATATGCTCTGCTTTCTGTCCCTGTATTTTTTTATCTTTGGTATAGGGCATGGACTTGCACAATAAATTTTCCACTGTAAACCTCATCCTATGGACCAGTTTTTCAAGGGAACAGTTTTTAGTCCAGTCTCCTTTGTATACAAAGATGTAAAAACTTGTGTGGGTGTGGTGAAATAAATATTTTGTGTGCTATATCTTACTGTTTTTCCTGAATCATCCTTTGAAATGGTTCCTCGTACACCTGTTCCACCATCAGGGAAGACAAAGAGCTGCTTAGAGCTCCAGCATTTCTCTGAATTTAAAGCAAGGAGAGGGAAAAACCTTCCCTGATGATGTCTACTGCCTAGGGAAGAGGTATTTTGGTGAGAACACTCCCTCAAGGTTCTTTGCCCTTGTTTGGTATTTACTTCCAGTCACTGCTGTCTATACTTAGGAAGAATAACAAGTTCACTGAGAAGAGATGTGGGCCTTGATACTACGGAGGCTTATACATATTTTTGTAAATGTACTGAGGTTGTTAGGCATGCAGTCTCATATCTTGGCAAGTCCTGTCAGGATTATCATGAATTTAATTAGCAGAAATTCAAGAAGCACAGCTGAGGTTGCCACTCATTATTTCTGCAAATAATGCAAATTATTTTTGCAGGTAATGTGGCTTCTTATTAGCTATTCATAATTTTTTTTATTGCTTTGAGCAATAAAGGTAAGACACTTCACTGGAATAACTTAAGATCACCTTTTGTGAGTGCTCAACACCTTCTAGCCAGGAATTAAGAGCCTTTCACATTCAGCCTTCTGCCCTGCCATATTTGAGTTGGAAATGTTTTGGCAAAGTTTTTTATGTAGGTACCAGTTCAAAAAAGTATAGGAAGATTTTCTCACATATTTCTCTTATTGATACCCAACTAATAAAATTTTTGTTTTGAGATAGAGGTTATTTTTTGGGAAAGAGAGCTCAGCTGAGGAAGTGTTTGGAAGTGTGGGGACAGATGGCTTGTCAAGAATGTTCTTTCAAGGATTAATTTACAGTTTTCTTGCAAGAAAAGGCCACAGGAAGTTCAATGCCTGGATTTTATTAATACCTTCTCCTGCCTATTATCCTTCCTTTTCTCTTAATTGCTGTTTTTGAGGCATTGTGTTGGGTGTATGGAAAACAGCTCCTGAGCTCCTTCATTTCTTCCTGGTGAAATTAGGTAATTGAAGGAGGGGACAGAAAATTCCCATCTCTGGGAAGGTGAAGAGCCAAGGACAATAACCAGGCCAGCCATCTGGCTCTCAGCTGGGGAGTCACTGCTTCCATCCTGCCCTTGCGTCTCTCTCTTTAATGAAGCAGGTCAGAGAAGACCAAGTGGGTGTACGAGATCATTTTGCCACAGGTGCTTGTGCTGCTGGTAGAATTCCATACAGTGCATATAGGAGGCAGTGTTTGAAGCATAGATTTGTCTCCAAGTTATTTAGCCTTTCCAGAATAAACAGTTCAGAAGTACTTGGATGCACAATTACTCCTGCTGGTACTTTGCCTTGCAAAATTAACACAGACGTTTAAAAGAAAAAGTGTTGTTTGAAGGTAAGATTTTGTTATGACCAGCCTTGTTATTCTCCTGCTGTAGTCCTCTTGAGACCTCTGGCCAGAGGAGGGTTAGGAAAACTTCCACTACGTTACCCTCAGCTTCCTGCCTTCCCCTTGCAGTACCATGAGAACTCTCTCCCACCCTGTGTTTGCCTGCTGCAGTTGAGATGGCTTTGTCAGCTGCCAGTAGAAAGTCACTTTCACAGATTTTGGCTGTCCTGAATGCTCTGTTTTTAATAGGAAAGATAGAATTTTCTAGGGAACGTTTTGACACACAAAGCTGCAACCCTTTTCTGTGCCCTACCCATTCTCTAAAGGCAATGTTTAGTTACAGGCTCATAGACATGTTTCTTGTTGCTGGGAAGATAAGGGAGAGAACAGGACTTGAAGAGTAGCACTGAAAATTCAGCACAGGATCTGTTTCTGATACTTGTTAAGTTAATAACTTTAAATATGAGAGTACTATAGCTGTCATGTATTTTATTACAACCAGTATATTATTAACAAAGTCATTATTTTATAATTATATGCTTTGTAACATCTGTTTCAGAAGACTGAAATAAGAATCATTTTAGTTAATCCCAGACAGTTTTCTCTGTAACTGGCAGTAAGTTCCAGTGTACTCCTCATGGGTACTTTCTGAGTATATCGCTGTACCAGCCAAGTGTCTGCAAGTAATAAAATCCTTTGTTTGAATATTGGCAGTAGTCTAATCCCTCCTCTTACAAAGTTTCAGATGACTTGCTGGTAACAGAGCTGCGATTCTTCCTCTTGATGATGGCTGTGATGGGCCCATCAGGTAATGCCTTGATTACATTCCATGCCTCGAAACGAGTGAGTCCTTGCATGGCACTTGTGTGCACTTGTAGGAGCTCATCACCAGGCTGAACAGGGCTGCTCTGTTCCAGTGCAGTCCCTGGGGACAGAAAAAGCATTTCTTTTAATTCTTTCCGTGGAAGAAACTTTAATGGATCTTTCACTTACTAGTGAATGGATCATCAGCATGTTATAAACCACCTGATCCCAGCAGGCAACAAATTACTGGCACCGAACAATATAATGCTGCATTTGAAAAAATAACATTTCCATAGTTATAAATCAGCATTCAGTTATGAAGCCCACAAGTCTGCCTGAGTTGGGAAAATGTTAAGTGTGTTTACCTTTAAATATCCTGTTGATCATGATGGGTTTATCTCCCTGAATAGAGCCTTTGCCTCCTTCCAGACTGAATCCTAAACCAGCAGATGTTTTTTCTAGAGTTACAGTGCAGATTGTATCTCCAGTGGCTGCAAACAAATGGAAAGTTACCACATGGACAGCACACAGTCTAAAAAGCTCAAACATCTGTTACAAAATAATAACTTTTGGATTGTTTGCAAAGGTCTTATAAACTGTCAAATGAAAGAGAAAATGAAAGCTTTTATTTTCTCATTTTCTCATATAAGGCCCGGCCCTCTGGGAAGCTGGGGAAAATTATGTTTGAATTAATGGGAGGATGGAAATGTAAGACAGTTATTGGAATTATAAAAATCTGTTAAATTAACAAAATATAAGGGTAATACTTGACTTCATATTAGTTATGAAGTTGTTGTTGACTACAAGGCTGCTAATTTGCAGTATGAAAATAAAGCTACAGATCTCCAAATCATGCTTTAGAAAAAAACCCAAAACCAAACCAAAACACCAAACAATTCTGAAAGTGAAATATTCTGCAAAACTCTAACCTTGCTGTGTTTCTGATGTAGCCACCTGCTATATCAAACAACAGCACATTGTTTGTTCAAACTGGAATTCTCTTCATGGAGAACAAGTCATGTAACAATATTAGAATAAAGAATCACTGTTCACTGAGCGGTCATTATACCTTCAATTAGATGTGTTGCTACAATAACCATCTTTGTACATCTACAGAAATTCATATGGAGAATTATACTTGCTTGGGTTTTTTAAGGAGTTAGTTTAGAAATCCATTGTTTTTTTCCCTTTTCAATAATGTTATTTCAAATATTTCAGTGTTTATTTCAGGAATGTTTTATTAACTGTGCTGTCTTTAATCAGGGTTCACAGTTTCTGCAGCCACTACTGGTTTTATGAACACCTAGATTTCAGGTGATGAGTAAACACTTATCAGGTGGGGGCTGCAAGATAATGCCACTAAACTTACCAGACTCTTGTGAGGCATTGCTTGCTACTGATGATGTACTAGAACTGATTGAAACATTGAGATTTTTTTCTCCATCTTTGGATTTTCTGGTGACAACCACAGCTTGTCTGGGTTGCCGGGCCTGTCGCATGATTGCTGAGGCATCACTGTGAGTTGCACCTTTCAGAGACTTCCCATTAATGGAGAGTACTTCATCTCCTTTCTGAATAGTTCCTTCCTGACAGGCCAGTCCATTGGGAAATACTTTGTGAACCTATTGAAGAGCCCAGTCACCACACACACACAAGGGAAGAAGAAACAAGGACAAGTCACTAAATCCCTTAGTTAACAGTTTACACCATGTGCATTTTGCATTCTTTGCCAGGAGCAAGTTGCTGCTATCACATTTCAGGATGGAGGACTGAATAAATTTGCATGGAGAAGTTTTCCTGTGCACATCCCTCCTCAAGCAGCCAGGGGAGCACTTTGGCTCTAGTACAGCCATGCTGCCCGTGCTGTGTATCTTGCATATACTACTTCCTGACCCTCTTGCTGCTCTGCTTGTGAGAGGAAGGAGGTGTGAGACTTATCTCTAACCTCCAGACCCCTGATATGTTTTCACCCACCCTGTTCCTCCAGACCATCCTGCATGGTCTTCTGTAAGCACGTGAGTAAGGTGTTGTTATTTCCTGCCGAGGGCTGTGTGTTCTGCCTCGGCTTTCAGAGCTGCTGGGGAAGGAGGTGCAGAAGAAACCCATTTTCACCTCTTATGGTCCTTCCAACCCTATCAATACAGCTGCCTGCTTTGATTATCTGAAAGCCAAAAACTGTAATAGAAAATCAGTAAGGTATGTATTTGTAGATAGAACATTGATTTGGGAGTATTTTTTAAGATGCTACTTACTGTTACCACTTTGTTTTCTAGATCAATGCCCCCTGCCAGGCTGAATCCAAGCCCAGTATCTTCTTCTTTATGCAAAACTGTAACATGAATATCATCAAATTCCTAGGCAGAGAAAGGAATAAAGTCAAGAACTTCCCAAAAGATATGGCACAATGATTGGAAAATCTGTTGTGCATTTTTTTAATCAGACTTAGTAGCATAAGTAAAATATAAGGTTGCAAAGATTAATTAGACACATTCACTCTACAGCTTTCTGAAACTCATGCACAAAAAAAAAAAAAAAAAAAAAAAGAAAAAAGCAGGTTTACCTTTAAGGTTTCTTCATCTAGGGCTTTGACTTCCTCTATAAGCTTTGCCAGCTCCTCAGGGGAAAGCAGAGAGATGACTGACTGCCCGGACACACCGGATGCTTGAGGTGAGCCCTGTTGCTGTTTGTCTTCCTCCTTCCCTTTGTCTGCAAGGCTCACTGTGTATTCTCTCAGCTCTGAGAGGCTGTCCCATTGTGACAAGAACAGAAAAGAAACATTGAGCTATGAGAGAACATACCCACTAAATAAAAGGCAATGTTGGAGCAGTCACCTTTTTATCTTATTAGCATGTAATTTGGTGGTAACTCCTACAAACTATTATAATGGAAAATATATTTAAAAATATATAATGGCAAATGGAAATTAATTGTGTTAACTTAAAGGAAGTGGAATCTATTGCATAAAAGAATAAGAATAATCTCATGGCCTCAGGCAAAGACACTTAAATCTGCTTTATCGTGGAGATACTAGAAATAATGCTGGAGGAGCATGTTTGAAATATGCATGTATGTACATAATACAAATTAGGAAGAAAATTAACAGTTATGGGTCCTTTAACCTTGATGCTCTCAAAAGTTCTTAACTTAATCTGTGCTTTACTTCTATAAGTGTGCTGCTACCTTAGAACTTTAATCTGTCAGTGAATCAGTAAACCTGTAAATCTGAGTTTTAAACATGGTATCTTACTTTAGGGAAAACCCAGTGTCTAGGTGATGATTCTCACTTGCAGGTGAGATGGAAGCCCCATCCTCCTCCATGGAGGACTGAGAGACTGTGTCCAGAGTTTCCCATGCACTGTTTCCAGAAGAGGCTTGGGACTGAGGAAGGCAAAGCAATGATTTCATTAAAGCAGATGACACCTGGCTGCTGATGGAATAGATTTTGTTACACTTCTCATCACACGGCTTCATTATCTCACAAGCCTGGGCTGCAGAAAGAGGGAAGCTTCGTGACCTTAGGCTGTGTGCTTTTGCTACCGACACAAGATGGGAGTTTGCAGTGGCTCCTGGAGTTAAGAGGCTTGATGAATTTTCAGTGCTGGCATTGCTGTTTTTCTCTGAGCTGGCTGCAATACGCTCCCTGCGAGAGGAAGCTCTATCCAGGCTCTTTGTAGCCACAGCCACAGGTGGCTGTTGGTGGCTGTTTTCACAATGGTGGAGGAAGGGTTGGTTTGAACACACTGGAGCTGCCTCTGCCCCTGCTGCCGTGGGAGAAGGTTCTTTCTGCACCGATGGTTTTAGGCTCAACCTTCGGGGGGCTTTTTCAGGTGACTGTGGAGCACTCAAGGATTCAAATGAGCTTATTCTTTGTTTTATTGATGATCCCCCAGGAGACACACGTGATAAGCTGGATGGCAGTTTTTTGCTGGAAATACTGTCATGGTTGGGAGGACTTTGATCTGCCTGTGGTTTTAGATCTGAATTTGCTTTCCTCAGTCCTTTCAGACTTTGGCGGAACCAGGTGGGCTTCGGTGCAACAGGAGGACCTTTTTTCACAGTGTCATTTTCATCTGATTTTAGAACTTTGGAACCGACTAATTCTGATTCTGATTTCTTCAGAACTGTCTCTGAGCTGCTTCGATTTTGATTCTCTTTTTTTTTGTCTTTGCCAGATTGTAAATCCAAGTGGACGTTGTTTTCACTCATGGTAGGATTAAATAAGCTTTTTATGCAGTCAGAAATTTTAACCCAGGGGTCTTCTGTTGTATCAAGACTATAATCTACTCGTGCTTGTCTTTTAAGTACAGGTCTTTGTACTGCTGAAAGTGGAGTCCCTGTAATAAAGAGACATCGATTATAAACAACCATCTATCTGCTTCTCCATCCCTTCTCACTGCATCATTACTAATTCATTAAGCTTGAATTTCATTCAAACCTCTGATAGATTTTTTTAAAGTTTTTAGAAAGTTTAAACTTTTTAAAAATTCATAACTTGATCTCTAAGTTCTTAATCCAGACACTGAAATTAAATGGAAAAACAAGGCTCCTGTACACTTAAATACAAGATTGCTTTTTTTAAAGGTTTATAAATACTGAAATTCTGGGGTGCTGAAATCTTGATACAGGCTGTAACAGCTAAAAGAGAAAGTTAAAACTGCAATGTTTGCAGCCTGGAGAAAAAGCTGGTGCTATGATAAATTATTTTTAAAAACATTTTTTATTTTCTACATTTATAAGTATATCCTACTCTAAAAAGACTATCATAGGAAAATCTTCAATATTTGTGCTTCCTCAAATTTCCCCAGGCATTTCCAGTTGATTTTTCTGGTAAGTAAAAACTTGATTCTAATATGGGAATATTTTTTAGTTCACAGAGCAATTATGAATTTTAATGTTAGACATGGTTAGGCTGAATGGCAGCAAACTTCTGTTTGTGCAAACAGGTACTGTTTTCTGCTTCAGTGTGAACTTCTTTTTTAAGGCAACATTTTTACTTTTTTAATGATCTGAGCTATAACTTAGAGAATTACATAAGCCTTTATGTTGTAAGAGACCTCTTGAGATTGTCTTGTTCCCTTAACACTAAGTTTCCTTAATTCTAACTAGCATAGCAGAAAAGTAACTTGTCTCACTGGTTTGTGCCATTGCAACACCAGAGCCCTGAAATTGTGCATAAAAATATCCTTTAGAAGTGCTAAAAACTAAGAGCTTTAATATCAGATATTCAGTATAAATAAGCAGCTTCATCTGAAGCAAAACAGCAATATTGTACCTGTCCATTAACAATTTTTACAAGAAATCATCTCTTACTCTGCTTTTTATCTAGTTTCTCTTTTTTACAAAGATTAATCAATAATTTTCAAAAATACAGTAAATCATCTCTTATGCTGATTTTTATCTACTTTCCCTTTCTGTACAGAGATTAATCAATAATTTGAAATTTCATCTGTTTGCCCCAAAATTTACAGTTTTGGTTTGAAGACTATATTTAAGGAGAAAGTGAAGTCAGCTCAGTAAGCATTTTGGAATCCAAACTAAATACTATTTATTTAGCTGTGGAAAAAAAATTAGTTCTTGGAGTTAAACATACCTAATTTTTCTTTTCTTTCTTGATCTCTGCCCACTGGAGCAGCAGTTGAGGGTTCCTTACCAAATGCTGTAGGAGAAGTGGTGAAGATACCGTGAGTTACATCAGTTTGATGTTCCTCTAGCACTGGTTCTCCAACTTCCTGCTGAACAAACAGGAAAGAGAAGTGTGTCAGAATGCAATTATGCAAACCACACTATATATGAATCTGAAAAAAGTCTGAAAAAATATATGAATCTGGAAATAATCCAGAAACCCCATATAAAATTGTGGTACGCAGGCCTCAGACTGACCAATACAAAGTTTGTGGGGAATAAAGGTTAAAAAAAAGATTAAAAGCATTAATATAACCTTCTCTTAATGATCTGAAATACATTCTGACAAGAAACTTTCTTTCTTGGGTACATATAGATATATAGACTGTCTTAATGGAGGAAGTTGTCTTCCTAAACAAACCTTGATTTTTCATGGATTTTATTGACCTTAAGATTTAGTTTTTTCTCAGTCATTTAGAATGACCAAAGAATAAGAAGTTGCAGGGAGTGATAAGTTCAACAAGTACTTATTTCCCTTAATTTTACTTTGGAAAGTTGATCTTCTAGCATTGGTTTCTATTTAGGGGATGGTAAAAGTGACCTTACCTAAGATGCTTAACTGATGTTTTCTTGGATAGTAACATTATATGTGGATTTCAGTTTGCTCTATATAATTTTGTATTGATCTTTGCAGCTTGGGAACTGTTTGGGGTTTTGTGGGTTTGTGGGGTTTTGTTGTTTTTTTCCTTTGCATTGAACTGAGAACAGTTCATTTCTACCGGCATATTACTAAACCTGGGGAAAAGAGGTTTCAGTTTTAAACAAAGCACAATTTTGTTTCAACATGCAAATCTCACAATCCTTCACGCTCATGCAAAAGTGAAACACTCTCTGTTGCCTTAGATAAGAGAGGGAACTGAAATTTAGTAACGCACAAAAGTACACTCTTTTCAAATACTGTAGCTCATCAACAAATATGTATGTGCACTACAACTTAATGGGTTTATTTAATACCTCCTGGTCTCATTAATGCATCTGAGACCAAGATTCCCTACTGTACATAACATTAGTGCTTCCAATAAAAATCCACTACAGAAACAAAGAAATTATTGTTTCATGATTACTTCATAAATGCTATGACTGTGGCACAGGTAGTTGGGGTCAGCTACACCAAGCTGGCATCAGAGGCTGTGTAAACCCCTCCTGTCCCAGCCTAGGGCATAACCCCAGAACCAGAGTGTGCTCGATACCACCAGTGGCACACGCTCATGAGGAGAGGCAGGGACTCAGATTCATTCTTGCAGCTGCTCTCACTGGGATTTTGACTCAGATACCTTAGTATGGAAGATTTTCTTCAGACAATACTCTGCCTTCTGACCTTACCTTGAACATAGCATTTTGTACTAAACTGCTTTCACTAAGATACACACCTTCTTTTCAAAACAGAAGAGCCTCATCTTCTTCCCCCAGTTTTCATGTGTTTCTCTTTCTTTCTTACCCTTCTTCCTGCTGTCATGCAAAGCCACTTTGCCTTCCTCCTTCCCCTGCCTCACAAATAAGCAGACACAAGAAAAATGTTGTAAATTTTACTTTACCTGAACACTTGCAGAAGGTGATGCAGCCACTTCTGATACAAGCTTTTCTTTTTTGTCTGCATTACCCTGGTCATCACACGTGCAGTCCTGCTTGAAGTATTTCCTTGGTGGAGGCTTGGGCTTCGATGATTTAGGTTTTCTAACGAGGATCTCTGATGACTTCTTAGTGTTTTGCAAGGCTCGACCGCTTTCACTACAGGTCGGAGGGGAATTTCTCCCTGAATTATTGGCAGAGAATGAGTACAGCAGCCCAGGTTGCCGTGTGATTGGTACATCTACACTGTGTACTCTCGCTTTCAAGTCCGTGAGCTGGTGCACAGCAGCAGTGGCACACAAGGCCCGGGGGTTGTAGCTGCTGTCGCTGCTGGAGCGGGTCATGAGCCGCTCTGCCCTGCGGCTGCAGTAACCCGCGCTTCTGTCCATGTGCTTCTCACAGGGGTGCCTCCCGTGCCAGCTTGTGTCCAGCCTCTTAACACCTGGGTCAGGAACATGTTCAAAATGTCTGTTCAGTACATGCAAAGTGCTCGCTTCTAGGAGTCAGCTGATGAAATCTGCAGCTAAATATCATCCACAGTGGATGTGAAGGTATGATTTATGCATTGAAGGCTTGTAGGCTCAAAAGTCAACAGCCAAGCTCCTGAACACCCAAATAACCTTTTCCCTATATATATGTAAGCACTATAGTTTTACTGATGATGACTGTTACCTATTAGTCCTTTAGAAGACACTCAAAGGAGCATCATTCAATGCATTTCTGTCATACCTGAGCTGGGCTAAAAGCTCCAGCCATGACTGCATATGCCTTTCCTCACAAATAAGGGATTAACAAAGTTTACCCCTAGGACATCACCTTCATTGTGCAGTTCTTGTTGTCATAGTCTTATCATTGCTTGAAAAGCTCTAAGCAGAGCTTGTGAATTGGAGAGGATGAGCAACTGTGAGAGGAAATTCGCACAACAATTTTTGTTGGTAATCAGACAGACTTGGTCTGCTCTCATCACTCTGGTAATGTTGGAGATATGTTAGGAGGGTTGTCCTGTGAGGTTTCCTTCTCTTTCTTTCTGCTCTGGGTTACTTGTCTGTTTTCAAGGATTCTAATACACCATGTACTCATCCTTGACATCTTTTAAGACAAAATCACCATGTCTCAGTGAATGCATTTATTCCCTTACCTTCAGTACTCCATTGGTGTCTCTCCTTTCCAAATCTGTTGCTTTCCACAGCTTGTGCAACAGCTTCTTTTAGCTGTTGCTCAGACACCTAAGAAATATCATGCCATTTTACTCTCATGAGGCGAGTTAATTGCACACCATTATAATTGTATATATCCCAGTATATATGAGGTATATATATAGACATGCTGCTTTTAGTGGCTGTATAGGTAAAATGGGACTTTTCAAAGATAAACATTCTTTTGCAGATTTCACTAGAAGCAGAGTCTTAGATTTACCAGTATAAGGTAACTCAATATAGCATAGTTTATGTAACAGTTTAAACTTGATAATAATTTATACAGTATTTGGTGTTAGGAAGCATTTTGTAGAAAAACCTTGCAAGCATAAAACATTTTACTTCAATATTAATTTAATTATAAATATTGGCAGGGCAAGACCTAAATTTTAATTACTGAAAGACAAGTGTATAAACATTTATTTATTTTCAGGGAGGTATGTTCCCTCTTTCAAATTATTTACTTATTATTGTCAGTTCTTTCTTACATAAGAACTATATTTTCAGTTATTCCTTAAATGTTATTTCTGTAATTTCCTTATTCACTGCATAGAACCTCATCTAAGACTGTCACCAGCAATCTTCAAATCTTAAATGATTCTACTGAGGAGTGCATATCTCAGATTTTTTTGTGTGCAGTGATGATCATAAAGAGATCAGCATTTTTGTAGTCAACATTTTTCCACCTGTATTAGATTAGCACTTACTCCCTCTTAGTTCTCAATACATGCTATATCAAAAGTCAGAAAGAAAATGGACTGTGCTACCTGTGGTTCAGGGTGTCTGCTAATAATGATTTGTACTGCACCAGGATCACAGTGGCTTAGCACAGCATAAACTTCATTAAGGGTTGTATTTTGTACTGAAGTTTCGTTAATTTCAAGAATTTCATCTCCACACCTAGAGAGATATTTTGAAAAAGAGAAAGGATGTAAACAAAAGAGATTTTCTCCTGACCTTGTCTCACCCATTTGAAAATATACAAAAAGCAAATTCATAAGGTTGACCTCTAATTTGCTTACAGATTTAATCTTTCTTTCTGTCCTGTTACAGAAATGGGAATGAGTTGGATGTCAAGGGGCTTTGATCTGACATATTGCATGCAAAATGAGCTTTCTGCATGTGCAGCTGTGCACACTTGGTGTTCTTTCTGCTGCCTGCAGCTCAGCTGCTGCTTCCACCTACACCTTCCTTCCTTCCTTTCCAGTTAACACTTCACTTTTCATGTCTTTATATTATGTTAGTGCAATTTAAGGTCAAAAAGGATGTTTCTGCTACATATGTGAGTAACTTGTTAAAAGAAAAATCCTAATGACAAGCTATCAAAATCTGCTAAACTGGATCTTTCTAGAAAAAATCCAAATTTGGCTCACATGGAAACTAAGATTACCTTATTCTGCTCTAGTTCTCACACACATTAAGAGCCTGACTGAAGTCACTGATTTGTAGAATAGCACATGTGCTTTAAACCTCAAATTCCCAGAAATCAATACTTCTTCCTGCCCAAATAAGTCAAAAATAAACCCATAAAACAGATCAGTGAGAAACTTGTGCAGAAGACAGCCAGCTTTTCTCTTCCTACCTGAGTCTCCCATCCATATGTGCCACTGAGCCTGGCGAGAGGGTGTGAATAAAGATCCCTGAAATACACTGGAAGTAAGGGATGCTGCATAACCCAATTCCAAGGCCAACACCTGGCTCTGAAAGAATCAATAATCATTTTAAAAAGACATGAGAAACAGTCAAAGCAACCATTGAAGAACCTTTTTAAAAATTAATTTAATTTTTTTTTCTGCACAAAGCAGAACCAAAGTCTTATGTTCATAAATGTTGCACATTCAGTATTTGTTGCTGCTTCCACTGCATTTTTCTATACCTTTCTGTTGTTTTATTGTGGGGCTGTCATGGGGGCTTTTGTCCCCCTCATGATTAAAGTGTAACAGACAGAATGGAATGCAGGTTTATTTTGCAAAATATCTGTCATTACAGAAGAATTCAAATGACCTTACAAGGAGACAGAATAAGAAAACAAGGAGCTAAAATGAAGGATATATGGCTACTGTTAGCTATATAATTTCAGTCCTCCCTCTGTTTTATATAATACAACTTCAGACTTCTGTGAGTTTACCCTCTTTGCTCTGGACAGTCACTGATGTCAGATCCCATACTATGTGTTTGGGAAGTCACTGGTACCTCATAGAGGCTTTGCTTTGTTTGCTGCTCGGATGTTCCTATATTTAAAAGTGTATTTAATTGTGCCAGTGATTGTTTATAAATAGAAGATGATGACAGTTGGAGAGGAGGTGAAAGAACTACAAGAAGCTATAGATACTTATTTTATTTGGTTTTAAGCCTTTTCAAGAGTGAAATTAACTGCTTGCATAATTATGGGTAAGAGTTGCACAGTCTGCTTAATAAGACACATTTGTTGACAAGAGCCTTTTTCACATGAAGGATATGAATGTGACTCTAATGCTTGAGAGAAAAAAACTCAATGATTGGCTCTTGAGGACAGATGGTGTTCAAAATCCTGCTGTTGATAGATACTTGTTAGCACTGACAGGCATCAAGATCTAATTTAGTGTATTGAAAAAACTTAGTTCAGAAAAATAATCAGGTTAGTGAGGAAAGACATTCAGAGAGCAAATGAGCAGTGGTTTTTCAGTCATTGCTTTGTTGGCAGTGTTCAGTTAATGTCAACACTCACCTTTGTTTAGGGTAACTTCCATTATGACCCTGTCATTGGGCTTTGTAGGATTTAATGAGAATGCTGCATTTTCTGAGCTGAAAGAGCTGTTTTCCTTGGTTATGCATGTGCTGGAGCTCAGTGACTGACACAAGAGGGGTGACTGACAGCTGGAAGCAGAATGAGGTGTGCTGAAGCTTGTTCTGACTGTAAGTGTCAGAAGACCCTTTTTAGCCTGCTAGAAGGAACAGACAGTGAGTCAATGGGTTGAGCTTACATGCACATTGTGTCTAAAAACAGGTTGTTCTGGAAGGAGAGTACATAACCTTGAACTTCTGTAAAGCATCATAATGTGTTAATCCATGCATGGATTCTCCATTCAATTCCAGGATTTCATCACCTGTTTTGATAGAGAAAAAATTATATTACTTATTGTTGTGCAATAAGTTACATGATAACATACATGCACTCAAAAGGACTCTTGCAAATGCAAAAATGGATGCAGGTGTTGTAAAAGACATGGTTCATTTCAGCTTCAATCAGTCTTTCAGTGCCATTTTTTGGGAAGTGGGAAAAGGGAGAGAAGATGTATTTCCCACCTTCTTGTAGCCTTCCATCAGCAGCAGCAGCTCCACCAGGAAAGATGGTTTTTACGTAGATCCCTATTGGTCCATAAATGCTGTCTTTACCACCAACGATACTGAAGCCCAAACCCTAATTTATGGAAGAAAAAGTGTGTGAGAACACATGATCAGTTCTCATAATAATTTTCATTCATTTGCAGTTTCTTTTGCATTACTTACATGGGCAGTATTGTCAGTGGAGTAGTATAATGCATAAAAAAAAATAGTCAAACACATTCCTGTAGTAAGAGTAAATGGGAGTTTCAGCAGAATCCACTCATGTTTTGGTTTTTGTTTGTTCCAATCAATTAATTCACTATTATATGCACATAGGAAGGTGTCTAAATTATTTTTTTAATTTTTGCTTGGATATGAATTGGCAGCCCAAAAGTAGCAATATTAATACCTGCAGTCACTTCTCTGGACTTTGCAGATCACATTTGTGAGATGAAGGAAAACTCACGGTAAATCAACAGAGCCAGTCTTACCTTCCCTTGTCCTTTCATCAATACAATGTTTGAGATTACTGAAGCCTGTGAGCCACAGGATGTGTGCACTAGTTGTGCTGTACTTAGGGATCTAGATGGCCTTGAAATTGCCTGTGAACATTAAAAAAAAAACAACAAAACCCACCATTTTCTTTTATGCATAAGCAGAATTTTTTGAACATACATTGCAGCAACTTGTTTATTTCAAATTTTCTTCCTTATAACTGATAGTATTAAAAATTCCTTTTTTTAAAAAAAAATTCTAATTTTCATAAGCCATTTGTTATTTAGAAAATCATTGCTCACTGAATTTGTTCTGTAGAGACTAAACTGGAGAAAAATTAAGATGTTTGTCATTGAAGTGGTGCAATGGTGTAAAAAGATATTTTGTGCTCTGGCTTGAGTCCCCATGCCAAAACCCCATTTGTGGTCATTAGGGGATATAAACAAGTATTACCATTTTTGCCTTCAAGAACTGAACTAGAATCAAGACATTCAAAATCTTTCCTTCATCTCGTGACTAAAAACTTTATCTTGGCAAATACCAAACCTGTTTTCAGCATTTCCCCCAAAATATGAATTTGTGCTGTATTTCCTAAATTCAGCCTCTGAGATTTGCCCCATTTTAATGAACTTTTAATGAAATATTCAGTGAAATGTTTAATGAAAACCTCCTATTTCAACATGCAATTGGGTATTACAAGATAATTTAAGCACTGACAGAAGTCATTACCCACAGCTAACTGTGCATGAAGTTCAGCAGGGTCAGAGTTAATTGCAATCATTACACATCTGAAAGAGTTCAACACTTTTTTTTTTTTTTAATGCAGCAAAGTGAAACTAACAGATGTTGAAGAATGTGGAAAATCAGAGAAAATTTTGGCTTCTGCATATGCTACAATTTCAATTTTGACATGAAAACCAGATTATCTATTCAACATGGGATTGGGAATGGGATTAAGGGGCAAACAGGTGTGCAACATCAAAAACATAAAATGCATTCCTCCAAAATGCATTCCTTTGTCAGACCAGGGTGACTGTTTATACCAGTATGGGTCTTCTGTATCTGAAATGGGAAATTTTCAAATTTCTTTTGCTTCTGTGTGAAGAGGTGTATTGTTTATTTCTGTCTGTGGTGGGTAGCAAGACCCAAAGCCAGGATGCTGCCAAAGAGCCTCATCAAATGGGCAGCATGTGCCCTGCAGGAGCTTTGATGAGAAGGAAGCCTGGTGAATCCCTGAGGATCTGTCTGTGCACTCACGTGTGGTTTGGTTGGGGTTTGTGCTCTGGTTTGCAGCCTCCTTATTCGTGTTAAAGCCTTGGATCCTTCAGGGTGAGTGATGGGCCAGGAAAAGGCAGGGAGAAGCAGGGAGGGAGGTGGGAGCTGAGTGTGAGGAGCTTTGCCTTCATCTCCTCCTCCAGGTCTGAATTTGGAGACCTTTGGCCATAAACACCGCAACCTCTCTCAGCCTCTGATGGGCCACTTGGCATCCAGCTGGAGAGCACAGGAGCCAGTCTGCAGCCTCCTTTAGCAGGTGTTTCCATCTGTCTCGTTCAGTGGGGACCATGCTGTCAGTACCTGCTTGTGGCCGTGGCTGGGCCAGCGCCGGTGCCTGGGGAAGATCGGCGGCACTCGGGCTCAGAGTGGGTGGTGTAAACCAGCCTTGGGAATTCAGACACACCGTAAAACCCGCTGGGCAATGCGAGGGAGAAGCTGGAGAAATGGGGGGTTGCTGGCACGGAGCCTCTCCCGCTCTCCTACCCCTCAGAAACGAGATGGGGGCGGAAAGCAGAGGAGGCAGAGTGAGCACGGCAGGGCCTGCAGGGCAGGTGGGTTCTGGCAGGAAAGCGCTGCCGTGGCCATGCAGAGGGCCCTGCTGGCCACAGCGCTGGGTGCTTCAGGTGACTCCTGCGGCACTTACCGGGGCTCTCCCTGCCGGGCAGTCCAGCTGCTGGGACAGTGACTTTCGGCTGGCCTGGAGGGTGTGGGGCTGTCGGTCCCTGAGGGGCTGTCGGTCCCTGAGGGGCTGTCGGTCCCTGAGGGGCGCTGCGGCCTCCCCATCCCCGGCCCAGAACGGGCTCACACCTGCCAGCGGTGGAGACAGAGCGTGTTACTTCACAAGGGTTACTACACACATATGCACAGGCATTTTAGGTAAATGTTACTTAGAAATGTTTTTTCCCCTTTGTAGGTCTCTTTGTGAAGGGATTGATGTTTCCAATTGTCAGGTTAGGGATAGCCATTAATGTTAAATATAGTAAAAAAGCAAGCATTCCCTACCAAAAAAGTAGAATACACCATTAAAAAAGCCCCAAACCATAAAATGCAAGCCTTATGCACCAAACCTGGCTGCAGGATGTTGTGAATACAGAAGCTGATGATTTTATGCATCAGCAAATCTTAGCTAAGGATCCCAGAATAAATTTGGACAACATTTCTTTTAGCACCACAGTACCATCACAAAATGGGGGCCTGTGATCTGCATTCCCTGAGCATTAAAACAGATTATTGCTCTGTGACTTACTGGTGGAGTTACTGCGAGTCCGCTGACATGCAGCCTTACTGTGCAGAAAGCCATTCTGTATTTCCAAAGGCCTTTCCTTTTGTGTTAGTGTTTCCTAAAACAAAACAAACAAAAACCCAACAAACAAAACCCATCGCTATGCAAGAAGTTTCCAAAATGATCTATTCTTAAAAAACAAACTTAATCTAATTTGGCTTGCACAGATTTCATCTGAATAAAAGAAAAAAACCAAAAACATGGAGCAAAATTCATTATTTAAAATAAATAGGACAATAAAGGGGAATGAAGCTCAAGTTTGCTACAAAAATGATTATAGGAAAGGAATAAGATAAAAATAGATTCAGGTCCTTAGACAGAATGAACAGAAAATTGATTGGATACCCCCAGTTGGTCCAGACAGATTAATGGTTTGATGGATGGGTAAGATACAGCCATGCTTGTCTAATTTCTGGAGATAGCTCATACTTTTCAGCTACTCAAGCACCTTAGGGAGGTGTTAAATTCAAGAGGAAAATTCTTAAGCCCATCTATGCAATGGTGGATAGGTGTCTTCTGATTCAGAGGGATGTTTTTTAGTCAAAATACAATCTGAGCATTTAAAAACCTCTGAGTTCCAAGTTTTAGAGTTTTAAAAAAAATCAGTACCTTCCAGTTGTCATCTCCTGTTGCAGAGCTGTATGTTCTAATCTAACTGGAGCTAGCCAAGACAAACACTTAGTTTCAGAATCCTGATTTCTGGAGTTCTGTTAGGAGATAAGGAATGCTAATTTTCCTCTTGGACAGCAGGTGGGGGTATTGCCAAGTAACAAAATCCTACTTGGGCTTTCCAGTCCCATTCCTTTAGGGAACTCTTCAGAATAAGAAATACAGAGAAGATCCTTAAAGATGATTTTTGAAAATTATTTTGCAGTGTTATTCTTACCAAGCTAGCTATCTTGAAAAGTCTTTGCTATTAACCATAGAACCTAGATCCACAGAACTTTGTTACAGGACCTGCTCTCTGGCCTTCTGGGGTTCATGGATCTTACCTTAAATCCATTTCTGCCTTTCTTCAACTTCTAAATGGAAAATTAATGTTGGCAAGCTGTGTATTTCTAAAAGAAGGGTTTGAACAGCCCTTGTGAGAGTTTCCCAGGGCCTCGGCCTCCCCATAGCCTCTGTTTATCTGGGAAAAAGCTATGCTGAAAGTCACCAGAGTCTGACCACAAGAGGTTTTGGGTTTTGTCAGGAAAGGCAAAACCATGTTCTTCAAACATCTGGTGAACAAATTCCCCTCCTCTCTAAAGTAAATATCCAATCACCCCACAGTTGCTCATGCTTACTTTGTGAGCCATCATGATGTTCACCAGCCGTGTTGTTGGGGGAATGAGAGACTCAGCCTCCTTTCTGGACATGTCTTTCAGTGATTGTACATTTAGTGTTAACAGCTCATCCCTTGGGCTCAGGCAACCGTCCCTTAAAGGAAAAAAACAACCATTTGTATATTATTTCACTCAGAATAATATGGCCCTGTTCCATGTGCTGCCTGTCTCTCTATCTGAGGAGCCAGCTGCAGTTCTCCCTTTGCCTTGACCTGCCATGAGGTGCCTGGATGTGTGACACACCTCATCCCCTGCTAGGATTTTTTCCCGTTGCTGCTCTCTGTGCTTAGTCCTGGTGATCACTGGCTCCTGGTGATCACACAGCTAACATTCAGGCAAGATATTCCTCTCTTCTCACCATCTTGCATTCAAAAATTGATTGAAGACTACATTTACTCCCTGTCAGGAACCTTGGCTTGCATTGCTTTCCAGTGGCCTTGCGGGACTGATGCCACTCACACTGCCCTTTAACAAGGTATCACTGTTGGAAAACCTGATGTTATGTACACTCTTTCATTCTTCCAGGTCTTATTTCTTGGTGTAATTGAGCAGCATTAGATCCCTGAGTGGTCGCAGTTTTATTTTTCTAGAATCTTGACCTATGTCTCCAACTGGAAGCGATGTAAGGAATGATTCCCAGACATCACTTCTTTTCTCTGGAGCTGAGCTGCAAGGCATAGCTTGTCACAGAAAGCTAGTTGTGCAAAGTCCATGCAAATGTCTCTGTAATAACTTGCTAACTCCACATGTACTGTACCTGTTTGCTGGGCCTTCAGCAGGAACTCGGCTGCCTGTTAACCCTTTCCAGAAAGATGCACATCTTGGACTCCTAGAGAGCTTGATTCCTGAGCTGCTGTTCCCTGGTGTTGAACACAACCTGCAGATGCAGCTGTCCTGATCCAGAAGATAAAAGGTTGCATGAGCGAAAATGTACTGAAGCTGTTGAAAGTCACTTACACTTATTCTGAGCCCTTTTAAGAAAGGTTTAGAACCAGGTTGCCTCCCAGGAGAACAGGAGCCTTTAACACTGTCCATTTGAGAAAAAACAATGGTAATATAGAGTCAGTGTTTTACAAAAGTTATTTTCCTTAGGACTTCAGTGGCTTCTGGCTACAAGAGGAAAGAATCATAATATAGTGTCCCTTTGCATGAGGGGAAGAAAACAGATAACAGACTTTTCATAGTAACTGAGTAAACTTTGCCTATGCTAACTATTGTAAGAAAAGACAGGGAGGAAAGTAAACACATGCCAGAAAATTAAATGCTCTGGAAAACAGAAGAGGTCTGAATGGAAAATAAGTAAAATAAGTGTATACAAAACACTAGAAGCTCCACCCCTGCTGCTGACTTGTTAAGTGGGGGCAGGGGACCAGAGAGGTCTGCAGCAGTGGAAAATTCTTTGTCCACTCCAGACTGGTTGAAGTTGCTGTAGTCTGCATTGCATCTGGAGGACTCATTGTAAGCATATCTTTAATGCAGTTTTGAATCATTAACACAGGGCCATTCAGAAGGAGAAGTAGTGCTTTGAGACATATATGGAAAGCAAAGAATGGAGCAACTAAGCTCATGAAGCACAACACATTTGACTAGGAAATACACTCTTGTGGCACAAATATACCTAAAAATTCTAAAGAGATGAGGAAAGCTGGAAGGTTAGCACAGAATTTCTTTTCCATTTGCTTAGTATTTCTCCTGATTCAAGTATTCACTCATTCTGCTCCCAACTGAACCCACCTCCTCTGCCCTCGCCAGCCTCTCCATACTCCACAAAGTGAAGAGGGCTCTCAGTGTATCCTGGATCCAGGCTTGTTCCCAAGAGATTTGTATGACTGAGGTATAGATTTCTGAAGGGGAGGCAAATTTCATATGTTAGGACAGGCCACAAAACATAACAGTGGTCAACTGTCTTTGTTGCTCCCAGGGCCCCTGGTCAAAGTGGCATAAACTATTTCCAGTAATCTGTAGTCCTCTGAGAGCACAAGGAAAGCTGTGTGTAGCCATTTTCACCATCAGTATGGCTTCATTTCTGCCCTAGGCAGAGCTCATCCAGCCCTGAGGATGAGAATCATTGTGCTCCTTTACCACAAATCAATTGGGATCACATCATACCTGACTGACAGCAAACACAAAACGCAAATTTACAGCAATGTCAATAAAGGTCATTATCTTTCAGGCTGACTGCCAAAGGCTGGCTCCCATTCTGAAACCTGCCAGAGTAAATCTAAGGCTGTGAATGAATGAAATATTTAACTTGGGGCCCTGGGCTCACTGCAGGCTGTATTCAGTAGGTAATGGATAAGGGCTATACTTGTATTGACTGACTCGTTAACTCTGTGGGTTTGCTTACATTCCAGATTGTCTGACTTTAAAGAGGAGTGTCTGAATTTTACGAAGCCTTTTTTGTTCGTGAAGAATTCTTCTGGTGAGTAATATGTTGGTAAGGATATAAGCATGGACAGGATTCTATCTTAAACCAATTGGCTTGAACTCTAATATTAGTTTTGGAGCTTTTATATGTACTTTTCACCCAAGATAAATATCTTGGGAAATACTTACTTGAAATCAGGATTACATTATAGGGGGTTTTTTTTGGTTTTTTTTTTTTTTGGTCTTATGGCAGTTCTTTGAAGTCTTCGGCATGGTAACAAAATAAAGCTTAACATTCTGATGCCTTAAAATTTGAGATCTTGGGTAGCAAAAAACCTGAGTTCCCTTTTCTGTTTGTTTGCACTGTCCTTTATTTCAGGTATGATTATGACATTACAGGTCAGATTCTGCATACATGGAGCATCCATTAAAACTCACAAGGTTTTCTGTAAGGTAGTGTGCTTGTTGTAAAACATGAGAAATGTAACATAGATATTAAAGGTAGGAAATTGTGTCTGCCATTTGGCTGAGTATTTCTGAGATGTCAGCTGCTTTTAGACTGGGGCTGTTGTAAAAGAACAATGCTATTAAAAACTCAGTGTTTAAAAAAGTAATTTCCTTTATTTTTCCTGTAGTCAGAATTCAAGTTTGGACTTGCCAACTTCTCTTCTTAGGAGTCCCTACTCTTGTGAAATGCTCCCTTGAAAGATACACGTATCTTCTCACAGACACTTGTCAGACACATACGCACAACTTTGCACGGCTGTTCTCCACACTTCATTTTCTTATTGATTTTCATTGGCCTTTTCAGACTGTCCCCAACTCGTCTCTGTTAAAAGCTGAGTCACACATTTCCTATAGCCTGTGTTTATAAATATTTTCATAATTAATTGTCTAAAAGTGATGTGCCTCTGCCCAGTGTCACAGGACATCACAGAGAGCAGTGGGTTTGGCTCTGAGGTTTTTCATTGCAGCACATGTAAGTCCTTTGGGGATAGGATAGTATTTTGTACAATGGGACACATTCCAGGCTGGAAATTCTGGGTTTATTGGGACATCCATGTGAAATGTCATCAAATCAAAATTGATATGAAGCTGCATGCACTTAGTCACTAGGAAAGTAGAGGTTAAATCCCTTGTACACTGCAGAAAAATCTTGGGAACAATTTTTGTTTAGATATGTAGTCATCTTACCCGGTTGGGACACATTTCAAATTATCTCTGTGTCTCAATCATTGCTGAAATTCATTTAGATGAATTACTTAAAAAAATAAAGTTTTTGTTGGTCTATGGACATGTGGCAAATATCTGTATGTTGTCAACATTTGTATTTTTTGGGTCCTGGATATAGATCATTATATTCATATCCAAGTTTCTGCAACATGACAGAAAATTAATAAAAGCTGTTCTTCAGAAAAATAAATGTCTTACCAATTCTTGTGCCCACAGTCAATTTGCTTTGGCTTTAGTTCTTTAATTTTCTTTCCCTCTCTGATTTTTTTATGCATATAAATAATGCTGATGGTTCCAAGAGTAAAGACAATACTTATTTTTGCATCCTTCTCCTTTTTAAAGTGTCCTGTTTGTTTTGAAAGGTGATTTATAGGTCTAAATACAGTGAGTAGTGAAAATTTGCTAAAAGAAGGTTGCCAGGTTTGATGTGGGGGCAGGTGGATCCTCGGTCAACCTTGTCTCTTCATTATTAGAACATATATTTAAGCATATATTTGCTGCGAGTGAATAAACTCTCTGCTTTTTCTCACAGTGCTTCAAGACTCCGGGGAAACTCTTATCTGCATTGTAAGTTCCACTCAAAGCAAAATTTTTATTTAAACTGAATCTGCTTGGCTGAAAGATAAAAAATTAGAGTTTAAGAGCCTTCTTGAATTTTCCACAGGTGAGAATAGATTAACTTTTCTTGTGTTTAGTTCTGGAAAAGTAATTTGTACATCCAGGCCAACTCTCTCTTCCTGTTCCTGTTTTTTTGTCGTACAAAATGCAAAGCTTCTGAGGATGTTTTTATCTGCCATTTAAAAGATTCTTTTTTCCTTCATGCTTTCATTAGACATTTCTAGCCTAGAGTCCCATCTCAAAACATCTAATTCCAGATGTTATTTAGAAATAAGGGTAACCATGGCATCTGTGGAAAACTGAAAAACTTTTGTGCACTCTTAAAGTAAGACACAGTAGTTAGATTGTCTGAATTGAAATGTTATACAAGGCTAGTTCAAGTAAGGTCTTGGACTCACTTAGCCAGTGCATGACAATGAGCTAATTGACTGCTGGTTTAAAAAAAAAAAAGGAAAAAAATAAAAGGAAAAGAAATACATCTAACACCAGTATAATAATGTATTAAAATATTTAGCTTTTCTGGTCTTATGACTGTGAAATGGCTGGGATTTCCAAGAGAATACAGTCTTTGGGGATTTTCTTCAAGGAGCAATTTTTTTCTGCATCAGTTCTAACAGAGAAAGGGCCAGAATCTCTCTGGCATAAACTCACTCCACTGGCTCTGATGTACCTTACCCTTGGTCTTTTAAAAATATAAGCCTTGGTCTTCTAAAAATATTTATAGTAGATGTAATTAATTTTCCCAGCAGCATATTCCCTTTGAAACCAGTAAAATGGCAGAAGCTGGAAAGCAAGGATGATTCAAGGAGCAGGGCATGAGACCAAACTTTGCCCTAGATTGACAATTCAGTACATCAGATGTTACAGAAGGACCTTTCCACCCATCCTCTGCCCTTAGGTCTGTTTTTCTGGGAGCCTTTGCTGGCCTGCATTTTGCAGCACACACTGTATTAATGGAACAGACGCTTTCCCAGCTTGCTCTGAGGATGACCTGGGTGATGTGCAGCAAAAGCAAGAAGGCTGGGAAGACAGAAAGAGAGAAGTATGAAAACTGAGGAGAACACATAACTATCTAAATAAATGCAGTCTCCTCTCTTGGCTTTGGTTTTCCATCCTGCCTGTGGGCTTGTGTTTGAGACATTACAGTCTGTTGCCATAGCACTTGTCCTGGTACCAAAGGGCCAGCTAACTGGTGTTTGCATCAAGGCAAGTTAATAAAAATATATTCTGCTGATGACCAAAGGAGAAAAATTTCCTTTTTCCAATTCCCTCCTTCAAGCAGAGGGTCAGGGTTCAAAGGAAGAAAGGGTGCAGAAGCTTCTAGAACCAAGCAGAGCCATGCAGTCAGGTCAGCTTAGCTCCCATACTTATTTCATCAGAAGTCAGCCCTTTTCTATTCCAGTTTATTCTAGATGCTATTTCTACCCTGATACCAGCCCCACTGGCAGTTCTCAGTGCTTCCCAGGGTTCTGGGATTGTTGGGAAGATGTAATGGAATGCTTCTTGGAGCAGTAGAAGTCCTTCTTGCAGCTCTCACACTCAGCAGAACCTGCTCTTCTCTGAAGGAGTTGATATCTTTTCCTGCCAAGTTCTCCAACAACTGGAGTGATTTCAGTCTGAGATCACTCCAGTTAAGTGATCAAAGACATCTTCCACAGTGTTTGCTGCATCTATGCTCCTGGTATCAGATACTGCTTACCAATTCTTTGGTTTCTTTCAGGCTGTGTGAAAGTTTCTGATTT